TGAAACAATCAGCCAAAAAAATGCAAGTTTCTCTCCCTTTGCGTGCTTGAGGCCAAAATGCAAAAATCTTTCATTTTAGCTCCCATCTTTTCTTTCTTCTTTTCCATCTTCACAACCTTCTCCTCCAAATCTTTTTTCTCCATCAAAAGCTGTTGAATGAAATTATCCTTATCATTTGTCTTCTCTTCCAAAAACATAGAAGGTTTTTCCTCAATCCATTGGAAATAAGAACAATCATCTTTCTGTAAAAAATGAAATATCATGTGTTTCATCTTTACATACAGTGTAATATCATGTTTAAATATAATCAAAATTAGAATTCAATTACCAACTTACTGGCCATAGAGCGCACCCGTAGAACTGCCGCCCAGTATTGGGGCCATTTTTTTTACAGTTCTAGGCTTCGAACACCTTATGGAAGCATTCAACACTTCGTTCACGTGAAGCATTGATTTCGGACCTGCTCCCCCACGAAGATGAACCACCTGTAGAAACCATTTTTAATTAAGCTGTTATCTGGTCTCTTGGAGCTCTTGGCTATGGCAGATTGGACGGGCAAAAAGGTTTATGGAAGGGGGTAGCGTATTATGATAAACGGAAGAGAAGAAGAATTCAAATAGGTTGTTTATAGCGTCGTTTTAATTAATAGGAAATAAACAGGTGGTTCTCACGTGATTTTACCGGCTAAGAAGGGAACGATTAGGTTGCCAGCCGGTTGGGACCATTAGTAGAAAAATCCCAATTAAGTTTGGACCACCCAGTAATAATTAATAATTGGGATTATTAAAAGCAGACCGAGCATAGTTGGGATTATTAAATCCAATTTTTCCTAATTTTTTTTAACCCCAGGGGGGCATAGGGGGAGGGGGGTTTGGGGGGCCTGGGCTAAGCTGGGATCAATCTCACTCCATTGAGAATTGAACCTGCGGCCTCCCACAAGGGAGAGTGAGTCGGTGACCAGTTGAGGTGAACCGCTTCTTCATTCAATTTGTCAAGTGTTATGAAATCACCTAAGATTTAATAGCACTTATTTTGAATTCAAACATAGTCTATCTAAAATTAAGATGTTGCATCTATTTTAAAAAAGGGGATAATATAATACTCCATATCTAATATCAATTGATTGCTAAGTGAAGAGCGGTCGTCTCCCTTGCACAAGGGTTCTGGTTTGTGCCGTCTTGTGTGCGGTGTTTAGATTTAGTCATCCTTTGGAGCGACGATTAGGTTAGCAGAGAAGGAATTGTTCGCAGGAATATCACTAGGCATGCTGTGGCGGCCAATAGAGAAGGAGTTGCGGGAGCCAAGGGAGAGAGAAAGGGAGGCGTCCAGAGGGGCTGAAATTGCGAGTCAGGCGGAAGTTACGCGTCAGGGAATCAATCGAGCGATGGGCGGGAGTTGTGCCTTGTTCGTGTTAACAATCATAGCGATGGTATGGCCTCCGCCTGAACCACTGCCAAGGGAGGAACGCGGTGCCTGGGTTCAAGATACTTGTTTTGCTTATTTAGTTTTTTTCAGGTTTCGTTCTTCTCCTATTAGCTTTTATTTTTTTATCATTTGTTTTCTTATTACCGTCTATATTGTTAGGTTTGTAAGTTTGTTTGGGAATTTAACCTCTTTTTATTTCATTGGGTATGTTTGGATCTATGGGAACATAGATGACTGTGTCAAGCCCGCTGCATGGTTAGCGATTTGTGTTGCTCTTTCAGGAGTGACCGTCTCTAAGTCTGATCATAGGGTTTACAGTCGTAGTTGTTGGAGTTTAGTTGGTGATAGATTTGTTTTTCCTTTGACTGATGTAATGATCCTGAAACTTATGATATGAATAGAGGCAAGTTTTCGTTCAAAAAAATCAATTGATTGCTAATTGGACAAGATTGAATGAGAATTTATTAGGTGAAACCATGATAAAAATAAAAAATTACTCTAAAAAAGTAAAAGTGTTTCTGAATTCAAAAATAAGATTATTATAATTTTATTCCCTAAATAAAAGTAACCGATTTCATGTTTGTGAGCTTTAGAAATTTCATTACTTTTTATGTTTGGTAATAATTACTTAGGGAAATGAAAATTAAGAATCCAACATTTTAACTGTCTTCATTCGTTGGTCCCACTTTATCGTTATTCATGAATAATCCAACCTTTGCACCTCATTTTCATTCGTTGGTCCCTGACCGGTTGATGACCTGCTATTCCAGGTTTTTTCATTTTCTTTGCAAATCATTCAACCATAAATCCCACATTTCATAAATCTTCACGAAACGGTCCCACGTATCATTTTTCTTTTTCCCTAAACCTTTTCCCTTTTTATTTTTATCGTCTTGACTCTTTTATTCCCCCTTTTTGTCTTCTTATTTTTATTTTTATTACTTTTTATTTTTTTTCAATGTTTATGTATTCCATTTTTCCTTCTTTTTCTTCTTCCCGTTTATTATTTCATTTTCATTTATATATATTGTTTCGGATTACTTTCCTTATAAAAGATCTTTTTCTCACCGTACTAACTTTTTACTTTATTTTCTGTTTACGTACACTTATTTATTTCCTTTTTCCTTTTCTTACCTTTACTCTACCACTAATATATATTTGAGAAAATAGCCCCAAAATAGGACTAAATTAATCCCCAAATGCACAAATAGGACTATGTTATTTATCTTTACTAAAGTACCGTCTATCTTCTTATTCTACATTTCTACCCTTACCATAACTTAATAGGATAATCATATTTTACATTTTAATAAAATACCGTCTATCTTCGTATTTTACATTTCTACCCTTACCATACCTTTCTTTTTATTTTGTTTCTATATTTTTATAAATTGAAGATAAATAAGAAGATAAACGGTATTTTATTCCTATTTTGGAAAGATAAATAACATAGTCCTATTTGTGCATTTAGGAACTAGTTTAGTCCTATTTTGGGGCTTTTTTCTCAAAAATATATTAGTGGTAGAATAAAGCTAAGAAAGGGAAAAAGGAATATAAGTGTAAGTAAAAAGAAAATAATGTAAAAAGTTAGTACGGTGAGAAAAACGATCTTTTATAAGGAAACTAATCCGAAAAAATATATAAAAATGAAAATGAAATAATAAACGGGAAGAAGAAAAACAAGGAAAAACGGAATACATAGACATTGAAAAAATAAAATAATTTGACAAGTAGTAAAAATAATAATAAGAAGACAAAAAAGGAGAATAAAAGAGTCAAGACGATAAAAATAAAAAGGGAAAAATTTTAGGAAAAAAAAGAAAAATGATATGTGGGACCGTTTGAAGAAGAATTGTGAAAGGTGAGATTTATGGTTGAATGATTTATAAAGAAAATGAAAAAACCTGGAATAGCAGGACATCAAGCGGTTAGGGACCAACAAATGAAGATGAGGTGCAAAGGTTGGATTATTTATGAATAACGATAAAATGGGACCAACGAATGCAGATCGCTAAAATGTTGGGTTATTAATTTCCATTTTCCCTAATTACTCTCATTATTTTCTATGTCTTGTAATAAATACTTGGTGACAACTCCGGTACCCATTTAAAAAATGGGGTACCGTACCTACCACTCACTTGATTGGTTCAAATCATTACATCATTTTTAATTTAGATTTAAATAATTCAACTACATCATTCTGATTGGTCCATGTGGACAAAGGTATGGTACCTTAAGCGTACCATAGAATCTACCTAAATACTTTCATTGGGAATTTTCTCAAAATGATTCAATCCAACAAACCCAGCGGGTCCATATTCAAAACATAGGGCCTGTTTGGTGACAGCTGCACTGGCTGGAATGGCTGAAAAGCCTGAAAAGACTTAAAGTGCTGAAGTGAAAGTGTTTGGTATTATATTGGCTGAAATGGCTGATTGTGTATAAAATTACTATAAAGGGTATTAGCTTATTTGTGTTAAATATATGGGTCTTAATTTTACTAATAAACTAGTTTTGTTTGATTGGGCAATTATAAGACTACTTAAATAATTGATTAGTTTGGAGATTTCATTCTTACTCTTACTTCGAATTTTAAATTATTTTAAACAACTACTTTCCGATAAATCTATTAACTAAGATGACATAAATAATTTCATAAGGAATTCAATTGGGTTAACGATTATAAAAGATATAATAAGTACTTTTAATGAACCGATTTATAAGAGAATTTATAAATCGGTTAAGAAGAGAATGTTTAAAGAATTTATAAGGAATAAGAATTAATAACTACTTCCCGATAAATCTATTTACTAAAAGAATTAAACAACTACTATTCGTTAACCATTTTCATAAGGAATGTTTAATTTCATAAATCTATTTTAAACAACTACTATCTGAAGGAGAATTAGGGAAGAAGTATATGTACGTAAAAAGCAGGGGATAGCTATGTCTTTTTAATGGTTAACGGTATTATAATAGAAATCAGCCCAAAAAGTAAGGGTTAGGCTACTTTTTTGGCTGATAAGTAATATCAGCCCTAACAGCCCAAATGCCTAGTGTTTGGCTCTTTTTTTCTGTTTTAAGGCTTATCACCCCATTTTATAGGCTCCAAACGGCCCCATAATGTGGAAGTTACCAATTTGAGTGTAGCATATCATTTGTGGCCCAACTATTCTTTCTTGGGAAAATGGAAACTAATAATCCAACCTTTTAATGGTCTTCTTATAATAGTCTCACCTTTTCATTATTTATGAATAATCCAACCTTTGCACCCCATCTTCATTCATTGGTCCCTGACCGATTTATGATTTGTTTTTTCAAATTATTTTCTTATCTTTGTAAGACATTATGTGATCATAAGGTGGGAATTATGGTATAATGTTTTACAAAGATAAGAAAATAACTTGGAATAACATGTCATAAATCGATTAGGGATCAGTGAATGAAGATGGAGTGCAAAGGTTGGATTATTCATGAATAATGAAAATGTGGGACTATTGTAAGAAGACCGCTAAAAGGTTGGATTATTAGTTTCCATTTTCCCTTCTTTATTTTAATTTTTAGACTTTTCTAATTTCATTTTTGTTTTACTATTTCACTTTTAGACTATTTTACGGATCCTATCATAAGTAGAGTAATCTCAATCGCCACGGAACAAAGCTTCTCCTCTCTTGCTCTTCTCTTCCAACTCTCGTTTCTTGAAAGAATCGACGTTAACTCGCCACAATCGTCAGTCGTTGACTCGTTGCAACCGGGACACCAACTCGCCGGTCTCCTCTTTTGACTCGCCGCACTGCTCTCAGCTCCTCGCTAACAAACGAATTCAAGTAAAAGGTAATTCCTCCAACTCTCCTTAATTTGACCGCCATCTACCTTAATTCCTCGCTGATAAAACTTTATGGTTACTTTTCATATCTTTAATAATTCTAAAACATGTTTTCCTTATTTTACATTTTTCATATACTTTTTAGGTTTTTACGGTAATTAACCATATTTAGACCCTTTTATTAAACTTTTGAATTTCTTTATATTTTTTACTGTTTATATTTTGATATAAATTACTGAGTATTTAACTATTTGAAAAAGTTACGTCATATTTTTAAAGTTTTCCCACACTTTAGACTAACTCTAAATTTCTTACTTCTTATTTTTCAATTTTTCTGCTCGTTAATTTTGCATTTTTCTTATTTTTTTTTCAAAACTTAAATTACATTGTTTTCTATTTAAAATTTGATTTACACGTTTCAAATTTTTCATTTTTATTATGCATTTATTGATTTTATATTTTTCTAAGTTTGAGGTTTTCTTTCCTTTCTAATTTAGATTTCAGTTTTTTTTACTTTTATTGTCCGAACTAGCTTTCAAGCCCGTGCGTTGCACGGGCAATATGTAATTTAGCTAATTTGAAATTTAATTTCTATCAGATCACATATAATGTGATTTAAAAGAAAAATATACTTAGTCTAATACAGAGTCTGTTTGATAATACTAAAGTAAATAGAATTAACTTATTTTGCTGAAATTGATTGAATTCTGGTTAAATAGGTGGAATCTTCTGAATTATGAAAAATATATGTGAAATATATTCCATTTGTGAAACAAAGAAAAAAATATATGAAAAAAAAAGTTAAATTGGTCTTCTACATAAGCATCTCAAGTAAACATAATTGTTATGAACCCAATAATAAAAAAATTCTATATTTCTTAATTGTTAGATCTTACAGTTTACTCATTAATAAGAACGTTTTTAATTGAATTAAAATTTCGGGTTTGATTTGGTATAAATTAATATGGTATATTAGATGTCTGTTTTTTATGCGACTTATTGTTATAATTATTAAAGTTTGATATGATCTGATTTAATCTGGAACTGAAATCAATCCAATTAAAAACATTCTATTAAAATAAAAGTAGAAATTCGTAAACCTATAAAGATTTTCTAATTTGGATCAGTAATCTATTTCAAAAGTGAAGGTGTATTTAAATTCTAGGTGTAAAATAAAGAAACAACAAAAAAATTTACTTATTTGGCTAAGCTAAACATATTTACTTGTGAAAATATATATACTTTATGTTGGTTATAATTTTTAATTTCATTTTTAATTATTTACTTATTTGAAGCTTACTAATTTATTAATAGGTGTCAAATTAATAAGTAAACTAATTTGCATATTTGTTTCTATTTAATTCGGTGTAGTGAACTAATATAAATTAGTTTCCGTATCAATAAACGTTATTAGAATTTCACTTTGATAACCAAAAATTATTTTACTTATTTGAAGCTTACCAAATTAATTAAGGTGGATTTATAAGGATTTTTGTTTACATATCAATATGCAATCAAAAATAGAATCTAATAAAAACAAAAGGTATAAAAATAAGTAAATAGTTGTTATATATAATGACATGACAGGATTATGTGGCGCTTTGTATGCTCTTAAAAAGTTTCTCTCTTATATATATATTGATTATTATGATATTTTAAATTTTAATTCGGAGTAACTATTTTAATACAGAGTAACTCTTAACATTTTTTTATAAAAAAACAAGAAATGGATTAATAGCTATAGGGGAGTGTTTAGGAATGTACAAGTGTGAGGATGAGACCTCCGTCCTCCGACGTTAACTTTTTAAGTTGTTCCATATGAGTGAAATCTAATGTTTAGCAAGTCTATTTTTGAAAGGAAATTTGAAAACTGAAAAAAAGTGATACTCTTTCCGGTCTCAAATGAAATTCACACTTTGACTTCACACAAATTAAGGAAATAAATTTGACTTTACTGTAGAGTACACTGTTGTGACACTGTTTGACACTGTTTTGCACTGTTTTGATGTAGATAATTTGCCAAATAAGGAACACAGAAGAAGTGTGAAGTTTATTTTGGACCTATCAAAAAAGGAAAGTGTGAATTTCATCTGGGAGCAGAGTAAATATTATTTGTGTTTTTGGATCTATTTGTGAAAAATGCCCAAACATAATTACGCCCTTGAGTTTGGTGGGACATCTTCGTCTTCATCCAATTTGTAATAAATCTCCATTCGTTTTTGCATTGAAGATTTCATACTATGGTGTATACTACCGTACTATTGAGTATAATAATTTGAGCAGCAGGCGCAACGTGATGAAAATAAGAGTCCACTACTACCTACTCTCACTTGTTCTACAAATACTACAACTACTGTTAACCGGAGATTCTTCTGCTTTTGGCTTAGAACCTGGAATGACCAATGACAATCTTCAGAATCATCTCAAAAGATCCCACTTTCCGGATCAATTCCTTTTTGGAGTCGCCACCTCTGCTTACCAGGTTACTGTATTCCTTCATAAGCGCATTAGATTCTCTTGAGAGGGGGGGGGGGGGGGGGGGAGGGTATCTTTAGATTCTAATTTTGTTTTATCTTAATCGTTTCTTGAATTTTAGATTGAGGGAGCCTATCTTGAAGATGGTAAAGGGCTTAGTAATTGGGATATCTTCTGTACCATCAAAGGTAATTTCTTTTCATCTCATCACTAAGTTAAATATCTCTCTGATCTAACAATAAATTGTTAAGTCGTCTCACATTTGAGTATTTGACAAAGTAAAGAAGTAAGAATCAGTATATAATCAGCTTCAAGTCTTAATGCAATGTAAATCATGTTAAGGCATCTCCTAAATTGGGTTGTTTTATCAAACATTGTCTGCCCCAGGGAAAACACACAATGGGGAGACTGGAGATGTTGCAGATGATCACTACCACCTTTACATGGTATTGCTTCTTTACCTTTCTGGTTTTAGGATTAGCGCAAAGCTCAACTCTCTTTTGGAATTTTAATTTCATAAAGCAATTAATATAAAAATGAAATAATGTTAATTTTCTTACTTGTTGGGGATAATATATGAATTATTATAGGAAGACATTGATCTGATGCAACATCTTGGGTTGGATGCATATAGACTTTCCATCTCATGGGCCCGAATCTTACCCAGTATACTTTTTATTATTATTTCCACTTCCATATACCACTTTTGCTATTTTTGTAAATTCATAACAACATATACATTTGGATTTGCCTTAGAGGGGAGATTTGGCGGTGTAAATCAAGCTGGTATTGAGTTTTACAACAATGTTATAGATAATGTGATATCCAAAGGTAATGGGTGGAACCTCAGCTTCCTTTTATTAGTTTACACGGCATCATGAAATGCTAAGATACTACTTGGAAAAGTTGCAGGAATAAAACCTTTCGTAACGATCCATCACCATGACTATCCACAAGAACTTGAGTACAGATATGGAGGTTGGCTTGATTCCGAGATGCAGTATGGTTTCTCACTTGGTTTGTACTTTGTAGTTGGGTTATTCGATCGAGTGTCTTTCGTAGTTTTGCTATGCCATCCACACAAATACATATAAAAACAAAAAAAAAACATTACAAACTTCGTGTTAATTCTTGTAAAACATTAACTTCTATTATGAAAATCCAAATAAGCAATTTGATTTGGCCAATTCTATAAAAAATGAACAGACCAACTTAATCAAACCATGAAAGAAATCAAACCAACATGTAAGGTTCTAGATCATAATAATAAGTATGAGACATTTTGTGTTTTTATAGGGCAGACTTTGTGTACTTTGCTGAAAAATGCTTTGAGAGTTTTGGAGATAGAGTGAAGTACTGGATTACAATCAATGAGCCAAACTTATTTTCTGGCATGGCATATGAGAAGGGGATCTATCCGCCTTCTCATTGTTCGCTGCCATTCGGAAATTGCACTTCAGGCAATTCAGATGTTGAGCCTCTTATTGCAATGCATAACATGTTGTTGGCACATGGCAAGGCCGCAAAGGTGTACCGTGAGCAATTTCAGGCAAGTGATAAAATGGTTCTTTTTCGATTACCTCCTTAAATAAAAAAGTACTTCACCGTCAACTACTGCCAAAATGGCACTGCAAATGCAGCCTAAACAAGGTGGGTTCATTGGAATAACTGCACACATGTTCATGTACGAGCCTTTTTGTAATGATGATGTGCATGATCATGAAGCTGTCAACAGAGCATTAGCGTTTAATGCGGCTTGGTACGTCTTGCTATATCTGAGCTAGGGGAATTTTCTTTTTTAGTCCCCTATAATTTGGAATTAGAGTTTTTCCACTTTTGGTCCCCGACTTCAGTGGCTTGGACAATTTTAGTCCTTGTCTTTCGTTTTTCCCAGATTTGATGCACAACTATGGAATATTTGACACTTTTGATCCTCCGATTGATTTTCCTGCCAGCAACATACATTTCCGTTTCATGCGTTAAAATTAAGAGGCCAACACATTTCTTTCCTTCTACTTGTAAAGGATAACTATTAATCATTATACTACTCACACCCATCCCTGTTATTAGCTAGGATCATGATATATCATCGTATTGGGCTGGGGATAGATAGACGGATAGATAGAGCGGCAGAAGGAGGAATTGCGATTGCAATACAAGAGATTGGGCGTAGATACACACATATTCATATATCTATATGTTCTTGGTAAGATGTGGTTCGGCTGTGTGTTGTTGTTGGCCGGAAATGTGTGTTAGTTGTTGGCCGGAAAAATCAAGGACACACATGTGTGTTTTTGACCGGAAAAATCAACCAGAGGATCAAAAGTGTCAAATATTCCAAAGTTGTGCACCAAATCTGGGAAAAACAAAAGACGGGACTAAAATTGTCCCAGTCACTAAAGTCGGGGATCAAAAGTGGAAAAAACTCTTTGGAATTATATATTCTGGAACATGTCTTTTATTTATACTCCGTACTGTTCTAGTAAATTTAACATCTCACAATTAATACTACGTATAACATAGCTGCAACCAACCGTATCCATTAAGAATCTAAGATCACTGTTTAACTGCTTAAGGGTGGGATTATTGTCATTCAATATTACCACGAATCTCTACATAACCCTTCACACCACACAATCATTTTAATAAGAGGGCCATTTGCATATAAATTTTAACAATTGAGGGATTAAAACTACAAATTATGAAAGGCATGTGTTTAGGCCTGGGATCGGTTCGGTTCTTGTTAAAATTCGACGGAACCGTATTAAAAATTATATGCGCTAAATTCGGTTCGGTTCTAGTTAAAAATGTAGTTGTTAAATTCGATTCGGTTCTAGTTAAATTCGGTTCGGTTCTTACACTTTTTCGGTTCCTAATAAAAATTTATTATCCTCCTAAAATAAACACATTTTTACCTTCAGTTACATAAAAAAATCAAATTTTAAATGATGAAATTATGACCTTTACATTATACACACATGATATTCCAATTTTCAAATATCACAAAAATATCCAAGTGCAAACATTAAGTTTAAACATAACAACATAAAGGTTTAAAATAGGCAGTAACTATCAAAATAATATTCTTCTAGTAGTAACTTTAAGGTACACATCCAATAGCAGGTAGTTCAACCTCAAAATAATATTCTTCTAGTAGTAATTCACCATAAATAAAAAGTACGTAGTAATAAACTGACCAGTAATATTTGTAATTTACTATGAACAAGTAACAACATAATCAACGGAATACTATTTCCTTATTGTGAACTCAAAAAACAAATACAATCACAAACAAATACTACCTCCGTCCCGCTATGATTGTCCCATTTTACCTTATCGGTCCGTCCCACTAAGATTGTCCCATACCAAATTTGGCAAAGTTTGTGTGGCTCTAAATCATTCTTACTTTATTCCTACTTTATCAATTCAATATAAACCACATAAATCACTTTTTATTGATTTACGTGCCACTCCCTCTTGTCCCATTGTTAGCGGGACGGAGGGAGTAATAGATATAAAAATCGACTAAAGTAGTAAAATAACAGCTACTCGAATTGGCGTGATCCACAATATATAAGGTATATTATGAAAGACAAATATTCCTGACAAGAATTTCCTGTCGGGAATGTCGTCTGGCCACCTCCATTTGAGGTGCTTCCGGGTAGAATTTTTTGATTATATTTTGTGAAATGTTCTACATGAAGTGTAGATTACATCCACCAAATTTCAGCTTAAAATACAACCGGGAAGTGAGTTAAATAAAATATTGAAAAACATTGTGTTTTTTTATATGTATTTTGACGTAATGTTTTTCAATAATTTATATAACTAACTTCCTGATTGTATTTTAAGCTCAAATTTAGTGGAAATAATCTAAATTTCATTGAAAACAAGCTCACAAAATTTCATCAAAAAATTCCACCTAGAAGCACCTCAAATGAAGATTACCCATGCAATGTATAAGAAGTTCGGTTCCTGTATAGGAACCGGAACCGAACTGGAACCGAATCGATCATATACTATAGGAGCCGAACAAAAAAAAGATGAAGTCCAAAATTATAAGAACTGAACCGAACCGGAAAATTCGGTTCGGATCGGTTTTCCCGGGTTTACGGTTCCAAGTCCCTGGCCTACATGTGTTGTAATAGAAATAATTGTAGAATGTAATTGTTATGCTATATGATGTAAAACAACAAGGAGACTAAGAAGCTGTTCTGTTCGTCTTATTCTTATAACTTATCGCTTATTCTTATTTTATTCAGATAAGATCAGATTAGAAAAATTCAGATCAGATCAGATCAGAAAGATTCAATTCAGATCAGATCAGAAACATTTAGTCAGATCAGAAACATTCAGATCAGATCAGAAACATTCAGATCAGATCAGATCAAAAACATTCATAGCAAATTGGAAACATTCTATTATTATCGATTATATAATTATTATTATTATTATTATTATATTGTTGTTGTTGTCATTATTATTATTATTATACTTATTAAATAATTATAATAATAATTGTTATTATTATTATTATTATTATTATTATTATTATTGAATATGGCACTAAGTATATTTATATTATTTTTTTTTTGCCATTGAGTTGTAAGAACAAACTCATGTGTTTGTCATTTCTACGTTATTCTCTTTACGTGGACGGATTTTATATTGCTTTGTTTATTGTCAATATTTATATTATTATTAAAAAAGATTATTAGTATCACTACTACTACTAATTATTATTATTATTTTAATTATTATTATTATTGTTATTATTATTTATGATAAACAATAAATTACTATTATTATAATATTATTATTATTATTGATATTATTATTATTATTATTATTATTATTATTATTATTATATACTGCCTTAGAAAGTCATGATCAGATAAGAAGGATTCAGATCAGAAACATTCAGATCAGACAGATTCAGATCAGAAAGATTCAGATCAGATAAGATCAGAAAAATTCAGATCAGATGAGATCTTAAAAAATTCAGATCAGAAACATTCAGATCAGACGAAGAGAACAGCTTCTAAGAGTGATTCCTACTCCTCTATGTTTAAATATGGCAAAAGAGCATACACCTTGTATTTTCTTGAAAAAACAAGTAAGGTAACACAAAATGAAATCTAAATTTGAGATTTACAACTATCAGTACATTTCTTATAAGTGAACTGTATACCTTGCATGGTCAAACAGGACATATGATCCTTTAATATATGGTGATTATCCTCTAGAAATGCGTTTCTACCATGGGAGTGAATTACCAAACTTCACCTCAGAGGAAAAAGCCCTTATAAAAGACAGTGTCGACTTCATTGGCATAAACCATTATGGCACTTTGTATGCAAAAGATTGCCTTTATTCAAGCTGCAACTGCACTGGATCTAGCTGTAGCAATGGTGGAGACCGAGTTATAGAGGGATTCGTGTATACTACTGGAGAGAAAGATGGTGTTTTTATTGGAGAACCGGTACGAAAAGTTTGATTTTATAAACTAATACCACATTTTGAGTTATTAGGTGAGACTAATTCCAATTCCTGTCCGTCATTCATTTTCTGTGTCCTGCAGACAGGCAGCCCTCGGTTTTTTGGTGTTCCTAGAGGAATTGAAAAGATTGTGGATTATGTTAAGGAAAGATATCACAATAAGCCCATGTTCATATTCGAAAACGGTGAAGACCTTTTTTTTTTGCATAATATGTAATATGGTATAAATTCCAATCTCAACCAGATAAACTGATTTCACTTTTATTGCCCGGACTATGTCATTCCCCCTCTTGGTTTCTGACTCTTATTTTTTCCTGTGTTCGGTTTTGAGGGGAAAAACTATTTTCCTTAATTTTTGATATTTTTTAAAAAGTGTTTTTCCACTTTGAAAATGGAAATTATTTTTCTAAAACAATTTATGTTTTTCTATATTTGTGGGGTTAACATTATACTATAACGTGTTTTCCAAAATAGGTTATCTTCTGGAGATAAAAAGGGGGGCCCTAAATTATACGCTTTCACCAATGCTCTGACGATAAATAATACGGAGTACCAGAGTAGACATGAAATTAATTGTGTGCCACATTCGCCTTTGCATGTGATTAACGTATGGTATCCTTGAATGGCTTTATAGGGTACTCTTCACCAAACAAGACAACATTAGCTCTTGAAGTAGAGCTGGACACCAAGAGAATAGAGTACCATAAAGCATACCTTTCCCATCTGGCACAAGCAATGAGGTGAGTAGTTGGTGACTACTTGCTTATTATTATTTCGGCTATTAGGCTTAAGTAGGACTAAAAGTAGCCCTAAATGTAACAATAAGATTATAATCCTTTTATTCCGCGAAAATAGGAGTAATATATGTTCTTTCTTCCTATTCTACTCTCTTCCAATTATTTCTAATAGATTTATTTTCTTAATATGAAAATCATATTTTAATTTGTGAAAATATAATAAACTTTAAATAATATAAACTATCTCTCATGAACCAAGAATAATATGTATATTAGAAATTACTTTTAATAATACCACTATTTAAATATAAACCAAAATTGATATAGAACAATTTTGCAATGAAAAATCAGTTATTTAATGCATCAAAAACTACTATCAAAATACAAAGTATCAAATAAGTGACTGTGTTTCCAAATATCATTTATTTGATAATGTTGTATTAGTTTTTAATATTTTAAATGATTGAATTTCTTGTCGAGAAGTGACTCCATATTATTTTTGGTTTATACTCAAATAGTTGGTTTTATGAAAAATCATTTTCAAAGTATGTATTATTATTGGTTTATGGGTGATAGTTGGTATTATTTAAAGTTATTTTTCCTAATAAAAAAGAGAAAAAATAAAACTAAATAAAATAATAATAATAATAATAATAATAATAATAATAATGAATATTTAAAAACTAAGAAGTCTTAAAAATTAAAATTAAATACTTAAAAAAATATTAAAAAATATGCAGGCCACTGCCACTACATCCTCCACCTCTTACTAACACCAGCTTTGATCATCATCATCATCACCCCAGTGCCGCAAAGGCTTCCATTTACGGTGGGATAAAGGGGGTCGGATGTACGCAGTCTTACCCCTGTACTAAAGCACAGAGTGACTGTTTCTGAATGACCCATAGTGAAAATTGCGTCGAAAATTGCATAGGCTGACTGTTACTTCATAACAAAGAAACGCAGACAGTTTAGTGAGCCATTTTGCTTTATTCCATCATATTCCCAAGCCAAAAAATAGCGAGTCTTTGGCTCCATTGAAAATGATGGAAAAGTAACACCAGCTTTGATCTCTGAGAAAAATGTCATCTTGTGTAAAAAATGTCACATTCCTCTGAAAGTGACACAAAAATTGCATTTGCATTTTTTGAAAATATCCAGCCTTTTTTTTCAAAATTGCCCTCACGATGACATTTTTTTTCAATTTGACATTCTTTCCCGGCGACTAGAGGTGGCGGTGTTAGAAGGTGGCTGAGGTGGTGGTTGATATCTGTATATTTTTCATTTTTTACGTCTTTTTATGTTATAATATTATTATATAAAATATCCTACTAAGAATGGCAAGGGAAGGGGTAGAATAGTAAGACTTGGTCCTATTTTGGGAATTTTAACTCCAAGCTCATATTGTTGCAATTGTAAGAATCTCTTCCTGCTCAGGTCTCACCGATTTTTATCCACCGAGGATATTAATCACCACTAGGTCAAAAGAGGGAGAAGTGGGCAACAGCCAGCACACCTTTTCCGGCCAATTCACCCTACAGAGGAGCGGCAGCCTGATTTAGGAGAAGAAGGGTTTTTTCGGCAAGCCTCAATTACAGACGGGAAGAAGAATAAATAGGCGAAACGCCAAAGATAAAGATGGCAACTTACCTTACCCAGGAGATACGCTGGAAGCGCACAAGGAAGGAGACGGAAGAACCGCGTAAGAGGAGATAGGCTTGTGCGAATTAGAAATCAGATTAAGACATGGGTTGGGTAAGGGAATTGGGCTTAGGGAATAAAGAGGGCCAATACCAACACATTCTCCACCTTATTGGACCATAGTGGTGTAGAGCAGAACGCTCTAAAACAATTTGAGACTCATCATCGCTGGATTGCCTGAATGATCACAGAGACACAGGCAAAAGGGGTAAGATCACCAGGCAACTTATCTGCAATCAATTTTTAACGCGCGTTTGCAAGACAACATTTTTTCGACAGAGTGACATTTAGTCCCCATGTCTGCAGGATTAAACTCAAATGGATTTTTAATCAACTTGATATGACCTGCACTAACAATATCACGTATAAAATGAAATATAACATCAATATGCTTAGTTCTATCATGAAAAACAGGGTTTGTGCACAGTTGAATAGCAGATTGACTATTAGAAAACAGACAAATGTCCTGTTTCAGACTACCAATCTCCGTTAGGAGACGCTTAAGCCAAATGGCTTCCTTAAACGCTTCAGTAGCGGCCACATACTCGGACTCAGTAGTGGAAAGGACAACTATGGGTTGAAGTTGAGACTTCTAACTAATGCAAGACCCGCAAAGAGTAAACACATAAGAAGTAGTGAATTTCCTATCGTCTCTATCGTTAGCAAAATTCGAATCCACATACCCACTCAACTTAACACCCTCAGAACACCTAGTGAAAACCAACCCATGATTAACAGTAGATTTCAAGTACCTAAGCAACCATTTAAGAGCATTCCAATGGGGTAAATCGGGGTTAGACATATACCTACTCAAGCAACTAACAACATAGGCAATGTCAGGTCTAGTACTCACCATGAGATACATCACAGACCCAATAGCATTGGAATAAGGCACATATTTCATATTAGCAATTTCAGGAGCAGTCTTGGGAGACTGATCCTTATTTAACACAAAGTGAGACGTCATAGAGATAAAGATGGGAGTAGCAGAATGCATGTTATATTTACTCAAAATCTTTTCAATGTATGAAATTTGATTGAGTACTAACACACGCTTACTCCTATCCCTAACAATGTTAATGCCTAGGATCCTCTTGGCATCACCTAGGTCTTTCATTGCAAAATTCTCGCAGAGACGTTTTTACACACATTTAATGGCGTCACCCGAAGGACTAACAATCAACATATCATCCACAGAGCAATAAAAATACAGGCACATAGGAAGTATTTTTAAAGTATAGGCAATGGTCGCACTCGGACTTGTGGAATTTCAAAGATGACATGCACTAGTCAAATTTGATATTCCACTGCCTAGGGGACTGCTTCAGGCCGTACAAGGTCTTCCTAAGCAAACACGCATGATCACTCTTCATGGGATCCCCAAAGCCCTAAGGCTGCGACATATAGATTTTCTTATCTAAATCACCATGCAAGAAAGCTGTGACATACCCACTCAACTTAACACCCTCAGAACACCTAGTAAAAACCAACCCATGATTAACAGTAGATTTCAAGTACCTAAGCAACCATTTAAGAGCATTCCAATGGGGTAAATCGAGGTTAGACATATACCTACTCAAGGAACTAACAACATAGGCAATGTCAGGTCTAGTACTCACCTTGAGATATATCACAGACCCAATAGCATTGGAATAAGGCACATATTTCATTTTAGAAATTTCAGGAGCAGTCTTGGGAGACTGATCCTTATTTAACACAAAGTGAGATGCCATAGGGATAAAGACGGGAGTAGCCGAATGCATGTTATATTTACTCAAAATCTTTTCAATGTATGAAATCTGATTGAGTACTAACACACACTTACTCCTATCCCTAACAATGTTAATGCCTAGGATCCTCTTGGCATCACCTAGGTCTTTCATTGCAAAATTCTCGCAGAGACGTTTTTGCACACATTTAATGGCGTCACTCGAAGGACTAACAATCAACATGTCATCCACAGAGCAATAAAAATACAGGCACAGAGGAAGTATTTTTAAAGTATAGGCAATGGTCGCACTCGGACTTGTGGAATTTCAAAGATGACATGCACTAGTCAAATTTGATATTCCACTGCCTAGGGGACTGCTTCAGGCCGTACAAGGTCTTCCTGAGCAAACACACGTGATCACTCTTCATGGGATCCACAAAGCCCTAAGGCTGCGACATATATATTTTCTTATCTAAATCACCATGCAAGAAAGCAGTGGTGACGTCCATTTGCTTCATTTCCCAATCATTATGAGTAACAAGAGCAAACATCATTCTAATCGTAGTAAATTTAACAACAGGAGCAAAGATTTCAGCATAATCAACACCTTTCTTTTGAGTAAATCCCTTAGCTACATGTCTAGCCTTATATTTAATGTCGTTAGGCTCTTCCTTCACCTTAAATAGCCATTTACACTCAACAACGGAACTATTGGGTGGTCTAGGAACTAACGTTCGAGTCTTATTCAGTCTAAGTGACTCCATCTCACTTTCCATGGCACAAAGTCATTTAGCGGACTCATTAGACTTGAGGGCCTCTCTATGTGTTCTTGGTTCGTTAAGCTCAAGGGTCTCAAACACAGTGAAAGCAAACATAGAAGTATCACACACATTGAAAGCAAAATCAGGCATACTATCTGCAGTTCTCCTAATTACTCTCCTACTTCTATCTCTAGCAAGTTGATAATCATGCAAATCATTTTCACTAGAACCTGCATTCTCATCATGCGATTCATTGTCATTTGAAGGCACATGAGAATGCTCCACCTCACTAGAAGTGGTGGTAGTATCATGCTCAGAAGAATCAGAATTATGCAATTCAGAAGAATCAGAATCATGTAAGTCAACATTATCATGATTAGCAAACAAAGGGCTAACAGCATGTGGTATGGACTCCACCTCAACGGGAGTACTACTATGGCTAGACTCAGAATCAGGAACTGACTTAACTAGACAAGGAAACTCGGATTCGTTGAAAACCACGTTTCTACTTACCATAACTTTGAAACTTACTTGGTTTCTATCCCAAACCCTGTACCCCTTCACACCCTCAGGATAACCTAAGAAGACTCCTTTCTTATACCTAGGATCCAACTTGTCACCTTGTTGGTGCACATACGCGGCTCACCCAAACACTCTAAGTTTAGACAAGTCAAGGGGTTTGTTTGAAAAAACAGATTCAGGGCACTTCCCACCCAAGGAAATAGAGGGAGACCGGTTAATCAAGTAGACAACAGTATTAACTACTTCGCCCCAAAACTTTTCAGACAAACCGGGTTTTGCCTTCTAATCCCGCAATCAACATAGAGGTG